AATACCTTGATTACTCAAGTTATAATTATCAATTGCCCTTAATAAATAAGGCAATAGTAAAACAACAACACCCTCAGTTCTTGCTAAACTAGTTCCTACCTTCCAGGATTATACTGGAAAATAAGATGAATATTCCAAGTTACTATAAGACCTCTATCTAGTGAGTCTCTTTTATTTCATTTAGAAAGTTTCCTTGATACTATGACCCTAGATCCCATAGCTATCACAGAATAAAAATCACTTCAATCCCCTTCCTCCCGTTTCAGGGCACACCCATTAATAGCCTATGGTGGCTTATTCAAATGTACTTCTGAATTATTTCTTAAACCTAAAGCAGCACAAATTAGAACAGTCTAAATAAGCACTCAATAGCATTCAAAATGCAGATAATTTGTTGCCCATAAAAATGCACTGAAGTGACTCCATGTCGTGGTAAGTTATCAAATTATGGAAAGAACATTGCAGAGATTAAAATGTTGCATAAGAGAGAGAAAGCAGCATGAGTCAGGGGTTTGGGAAATATGAGTCAGACTGAAAGGAGGGAGCCAAAAAAACAGAGAGAATGAAGGCCTAAGCAGGAACTTAATGGACACCACAGTGATGTGGACACCATTGCTTCCATTAGCTTGGAGAAGAGATCAAATGTGTGGTTCCATCGACTGACGGCCAGTGTGATAAAGACGCTAGAAGTAACAGCTGAGCAAAGATTAGTCTGGACTATTTAAAGCAACTAAAGTTGCCAAAGTCAGCAAGAGAGGGACCCACAAATAGTATAAATCACTAGGAGGGAGACCGTGGACACATTTTTGAAAAATGAGAGAATCACCAAATATTGCCATTAGTTATTCTTAATATATTATAATGATGAAATATGTTGTGATATTTTAGGAAGCACATTCTATTATTTTGTTCTCTGTTAATGTCAACATTAGGTTATGACTGCATAGTTCAGGTCTGCTTGCTGTGGTGTATAATCCAAACTCTCTAATCCCACCTTTAGGGCTTTACTTTATTTTGTATTCTAATTTGTCATATATGACAGCAAAATGCATTACAATTCATATTACCCATATAAAAGGGCCCTGAATTTTATTCATGACTTGAGCCAGCAGTTTATGAGCAACTTCTGCCAGGCACTGTACCAGGCTCCTTACACACAGTGCCTCCAGTGTGCTGACTTCAGCTCCTTCCATTCTCCTCATGCACAGCAACTGGATCTCACCACTGTTTTCTAATGGGAACAGCTTTCTCCTTAGAAACAAGCTCATTTTCCTGCTAATTCATGTATCTCATCTTTTTCAAAATGCAACGGAGGACCCACCTCCTTGGCAAACCTCCTGAAGCTGCTTCCCTCTTAGGCTGCTTCATGCCTCCTGCACTCAATTGCTTTACATTATTCCCACTGACCGATACTTTGCTGATTTTGCTGCGTTTGTTTCTCAGTTCTTGCATGTCACACTATCTTATACATTTTAGTTGCATGAGATAAAGCACTGACCCTACTTTCCTTAAACTCTAGGCATCAATTCCCAGCAAACAATAATGACTCATTCATCTATTTATTGAGCAAATAAGTATTGAAAAATCACCATGTGCTATGCACTCTACTGGGCTAGGCACACAGAAAAAGTAAGATATAGATTCCATCCTCAAAGAGCTTGATTCCAGGGCCCACGGCATATGCTGACTGCCTAAAAAACCAAGTAAGCTTAACTATCGAGAATAAATGGTAGATAATTTAAAAACACAATACAAACTCCTCTCCCCAGAGTATTTATTCTTTCATTATCAGGAAAATCTTGACAGACTTGAATAGTTTCCCTGAAAAATAAAGCATTGTTCTTGCCTATGCACATACCCCCCCGCCCCCAGTATAGATGTAGAAAATGGATTTTTGACTACACACCGCAGAGGTGCCTGCAAAAGACATTGTTTGTGTTGGCTGAATTAGTGATTTTTGAATCATATTGAAATGCCTACAATAGAAAAGACAAATATAAGAGAGTTTATCAACATATAATGATTTTGATGTGACCTTGTATAGCTGTGTAAATATGCAATAACAGGATGTTAAAGAGCAATTGTTTTAAATAATGAAAGTAATTATTTAAGTAAACTAATAAATGTATACTATAATAGATGATAGCTCAAAAAAATCATTCCATTGGGAGACTTCAGCACTAGATAACCTGCTAAAAGCAAGGAGGAATATATTATAAACTGTAGTCAGAGAAGCCATAAGTGGAAATACAGTAAATAGCTGCTTTCTGGAGCCAGGGATGGTGGCACATACTTATAATCCCTGCAACTCAGGAGGCTGACGCAGGAAGATTGCAACTTTGAGGTCAGCGTGGGCAATTTAGCAAGACCCTGTCTAAAAATAAAAGGGCTGGGGATGTAGCTCAGTGGTAAAGCGCCCCAGAGTTCAATTTCCAGAACCAAAAAACAAAACAAAACAAAAAAGCCTGCTTTCCTGGTCACAGAGATTACTTTCTCGATCATTTTGGAAGTCCAGGTAAGTAGAAAGTATAATCACTAGTCAACATTAGGTGAGGCTGATCCTACTGCAGCTTTGCTTGTTTTATGGTTTTTGTTTGTTTGTTTGTTTGGTACTGGGGATTGAACCCAGGGGTGCTTTACCACTAAACTATACCCCAATCCACTTTAATTTTTTTTTTGTATTTTGAGTCAGGGTCTCTCTAAATTGCTGAGGTTGGTCTCTAACTTGTGATCCTCCTGCTTCAGCTTCCTGAGCTGCTGGGATCACAGGCATGCACCCACTGCCAGCTTTGCTTGGTTTTTGATAGAGAAAAGAAAAGAACATAGTGAGAGTGGAGGTGGTAGTATTTTGGTTTTTGTTTGTTTGTTTTTATTAAATTACTTTAACTTTTGTTTGTTTCTATTAAATAACCCTCTGGGAGCTAAACAGACATGATAGTTAAGGAGTAGCAGCACAGGTTTCTGTAAAACATGTCCAGTGGAATCAATGCATCGCTAAATAGTTTTTAAATACAGAAACCTGTAACAGTGTGAAAATAGGAAGGAAATTATAGGACATCAAGAATGCAATGGGGTGGAGGCAGTTTGCAGAGAGATGTCTCCAAAAGAATAAGCCTCAGTCACTGGAGAGGCCTCCCTTAGAAATGTAGCAGCAGCCCAAGTCCTTGATCTTCTGCCAGAGTGTGCTGAGGAAACCTGCCACATCTGAATCTAACATTGCCATATCTCTCAGGGCTGTTATCACCGCAAATGCTGGCAAATGTTCTTGACATAAAACAATAGGAATTCTGCTGTCATTTCTGCATTAACGAGTCATAAAGCTCTGAAGAAACCCCAGTAGAAAGGTTTTCATCAAGTGCATATGAGAAAATAATAAAAGACACCAAAAGGAGCAGATTAATCTCACAGAAAGATTATCGAACCATTGTATCGTACCCAAAAAGCACAGTTTGCAATCACTGGTTTGAAACTAACAACAATAGTAATAGTACTGATAAATTTCAAAACAGAGCCAGAAACATACCAAGAAAGCTCAGCTAAAACTTTATCACCAGGTTCAAAGAATTATGTAAGTAGATGCACTCATAGGTTATTATCCTACAAATAGCCGTACAACACTCAGTATTTTTCACCTTCTGTCCCTCTTTCTTGTGGAAATGCCCAGCTAAGTGAAACAGTTATCTGAGGACAAACTTCTTACAACCAGGTCTTCCTACATTAGGACACTGCATAATGCAATAATTCACCTTGAAAACATGGAAAAATGAGGCAAAAACACAAACGACCACTCTCTAAGCTTCTGAAAGGGAAAGCAGAGATTACATGAACTCAGATGATTGGTTATTTTTTAAAAAAATTGATTCTTGGTCCACTATTTCTGCTAGAGCACCCCCAAGTAGACCATAGTGATGATTTAAGACAGGATGATTTAAGATCCCCTAACTCTATCTTAGTTTTCATGCAAAATGTGTCATCTCAGAATTACATGTCATACGATACTCTTAATGACACTTAAGAGTCTTCAATTAGAGAATGCCAAAACTGTGTAATGCTTTCATTTGTTCTGTTTAACTTCATGATGTGGGAGATTTGAATGAATACAAAGGTGATACAGATAAGGCAAAATTGAATTCACTTATAAATGACAGTAAACCTGAATGTACACACACGATTTTATATCACATTTTCATATGAAACAAATTCTCTAAACTGGTTTTATATGTACAGCTGAGTTGTTTGTTTTGGGTTGTTTGTTTGTTTGTTTTACTTTTCTAGAACAATGACCTGCTTATTCCTTAAGGAACATTTGGTGAAATAGTAAAAGGCTTTGGGAAATTGTGTATTTTAAAATACACCAGTCTTTGTCTCCTAGAGGAATATGATCTTATTGAATCCCTTGCATTTTGAATTTGCAATGAAAAATTTATACACAAATGTTACTCTACCATTTGCAAAAAAAAATTAAAAAGCAACAGGAAATTAAATGTATAATATTAGTTATACCCACCTACTGGGCAGATTTTTAAAGCCTTGTAAATAGAAATTATAACGTAACATATGGGTGGAAAAGCCAGATAACATACAGCTTATTAAAATTTTAAAACACACTAAACTACTATATCCAACTAGATGCACACACCTAATCCCTGTTTAACAAAAGTATAAACATCTTCTGCCTGTTAGGAAACTGGCACATGATGGGTAAGGGGTTGAGGATAGGGTGAGGTTTTAGCTGCATCTGCAATGTTTTATTTCTTAACAAAACAAAAGCAGCCAAGACAAGCATGGCAAAATGTTAGTGTTTTAACAAACCATTATCTATGAAGTTATTTACTGAATTCTTGAAATGATTTAAATTTAAAATATTTTCAATATAACAAAAGTATAATGCTTTAAGAATAAAGTCAAATTCAGTTTAAGAAAAGCAATGGCAAAATGGAAGAAATGATGAAATTTTCACAATCTACTAAAACATTGTTTGTGTTGCGTGTCTTGGACAGACATCGACGAGTGCACTGCAGGGACGCACAACTGTAGAGCAGACCAAGTGTGCATCAATTTACGAGGCTCCTTTGCATGCCATTGCCCTCCAGGGTATCAGAAGCGAGGAGAGCAGTGTGTGGGTAAGTCCCATGGAGCAGTAAACAGAGTCTTGTCCTGGGCATCTTCAGGCATTCACAGCAAAGCACCCATATCCATTGAAGAATGATAGTAATGATACTTCCTCTTTCGTTGACTACCAATCCATTCTCCATCTAACAAGAACAATTAGCCTTAAAGGTGAAGCCTATCCTGAACAGCAAAGTGTTACAGATTAAGCCAAAGCAGAAATCTTTGGTACAAATTGGACCACAAGGGCAACCAAGAAAATAATTCTAAATTAGCGGGTATTGCACCAACACACTAGTGATGTGGCTTTGGCACACTGTTGCACAGCTCACGCAGCACAGCACACAGGGCAAAGGGTGAAGTTCAAATCCCAGCTCCATCCCTCCTCAAGGCTGGAACTTAAGTTCTCAGTGTCTTTCCTTGTTCCTGTGTCCTGTGGAGACAGCAGGGGTCCCTACCTCAGGAGCTCCTGCACAGGATCACCCACCACAGAGACTGGCCCTGTGTGGTGCAGCTGCTTGCCATCATCATGCAGAGATTAACAGAAAAGCCAGAGACTGTTGCCAGCCTGTGTCGGGTGTTTTAAGTGCAAAGCCAAGCATAATACCTGCTTCCTTGAGGGTCTGAGCATGTCAGCTCCCTGAGGGCAAGGGCCAGGTCAGCTTGTGTCACTGCTGGCTCCAGAGTCCTCAAAGAGAGCCCACCACACAGAGGATGGATGCTCCGTGGGTGCATTTTGCATTCAAAATGGAAGAAGACAGTGTGAGGAGGTAAACTGGCAAATAGTGAAGTCAAATAAAGCATCCTGGCTCAATAGTGAGGCCCAGCAGTAGCCCTGAAACTCTGTAATTGAGTCCCTCTTTCCATTTATTTAACAGGCCAGTGAAGGGTGAGGATGTGGAGATAGGGAATCACTTTTTCACCCACAAGTGTGAGCTGTTGACATTAGGTTATCAGCACTGAGCTTCCCGTGGGCCGTGGCCCAGTTCTGCCTGCCATGGGCCATGCCTAGATGCTGGGGTTGGTGCCCAGCCTCTAAGGAGCACCCAGGGTTTGTAGCAGCTGAGCCATGGTTTGGGAAAAGAGTGTGGGGAAACTCCACAGACACCAGAGCTTTGCCTATTGTGTTAGTTAATAAAATAAACGTTCCAGAAGAAAGAACTAACTCATCCTACTGCAGGATGAACCTAGAAGACAGGAACATAATATGGTCTCAGCCCTTTGTGAGAAAATAGGAAGAGACCTTCATGACTAATTATACACATACACTGTCACACTTCAGTACCCCCACCCAAGTTCTTTCCTGCTCCAAGAACATTCCCTCCTAGCAAATTTCTGTTCAGTCCCAGTTCAGAGTACCTCCTCTAGCAAGCCTTCCGTGATCCATCCAACTATAATTGGTCACTCCTTCCTCATCAACTATGATGAAATATCCTTTTGCAGATCTCTAATCTGTTGTAAGACCAATACATCTGTAAGGTATAATAAAAAATATTGTGGTAATGTCAATTGCTATACCTAAACATGTACTTTCAGTTTCTGTATCGATCCAAATAGTCCATGGACCAGCAGCACTCAGTAGGTCACACTTTGTGTGTGCTCCTTCTATCCCTTGTACATCTATTATTGATCTTGTTATTTCATGGGGAAATTTGTTTCATGCCTATATTCCATACTAGGCAGATGCAGATCATTATAAACCGGCGGTGCCAAATAACAATGGTTGATGAATGTCCACTGGTTGAGAAGACACACATTATTTATTTATCAAGAAATTATTTAAGGCTGACTGTGTGCCAGGCGCTGTTCTGCATACTGGCTATAATAATGAACAAACAGATTGTACAAAGTCATAACTATTAGAAAGTACCATTTGTATAACTGACTATCAATACTGGAACCTGCCTATAATACAAGGTACTAGGAAGCACTGTGCTAATTAGCCTTAAATTTCCATTCATTCAAATAATGATTATGGGGCACCCACTATGCCAGTCCTTGTTCCACATATTAAGCATATGGCATGATCAGAAAAAAAAAAAAAAAAAGACCCACTGTTTTTACCTTAAGGAGAAGATACAGGTTTTATTTGGCCTGCATTGTAGTGAGGGAGACAAACAAGAGGCAGATAAACATATAACTCAATGTCAAGTGATGCAGAGGGCTCAAGGAAATTCCCTCCTAGCAAATTTCTGTTCAGTCCCAGTTCAGAGTACCTCCTCTAGCAAGCCTTCAGTGATCCATCTAAAACAATAAAGATAAAGAAATAGATGGGGCAGAATAAACTATTTTATATGTGTGGGAGAAATGACCTCCTTGAGGAGGCAACATTGATCAGACAATACGCTTTATTTTAATAAGTAGGTTAAGGAGCTGGAGCTGTAGATCAGTGGTAGAGCACTTGCCTGGCGAGTGAGGTACTGGGTTCCATTCTCAGCACCACATATAAATAAGTAAAATAAAGATCTATCAGCAACTAAAAAAAAATCCTTAAAAGATGCAGGTTCAATCAAAAATATTTTGCAGCTTATTAATAATAGCTCCCATTTATTTTTATCTGCTGTGATCCAGGAACTTTGCCTACATTATGTCATGTAATCCTCCTAGCAATTCTATCATATTTTTTACACTATTACTTATGGAAGAGGAAATGGAAGCTTGAGAATTAAGACCAAGCTAGTAATTACCAAAGTGAAAATCCAAACTTAGGTTACCCTGAAGCCACTTGAGCACATTGCCTCTCACATTTTTAAAGTACCCAAACAGCTTCACATTGTTTTGTTTCATTTTACCAAAAGGCAGGGTCTGTGTACAGTGTTACCTTGTACCTGCATACTTTTTGCTCTGAATGACACATGCCATGTTGGAGTTGTCATTAAGCATAGAGTCATGAATTAGTGGCATTTTATTATGCTTCTAAGATGTTCATCTTCCTCTGCAAGTTCTCAGTTGAGCATCTTATGGTTGGAAATATTTGTCTGAGAAAGACACCATCTGGAACACCTCATCAATGTCAGCAGGGCCCTCTCAAGAGGTGACTTGTTGTGCATCCTTTCTTTCCACAGCATTCTTTCATTTGACTCTCACAAAAACTTCCTAAGATACATATGGCAAGCCTTCCTTTCACTGTGTGCAGAAGAAACCCCAGGACACAGAACATTTCAGTGACTTAGCCCCTGTCACCAGCCACACATACTCTACAATTCCTTTCCTTTCTCTTAGTTTCATGCTGCATTGCTTAATTGGTTTTTACCTCATTTCATAAGATTTTAGTTCCCCACATGGACATTTTCTTATGTATGTGAAGTGGTCTTAATTATTCTTTTAAGTCTCAACCCACCCAGCCAGGCTTATTTATCACACACTGGGGTATGCAGTCTTCGTTCTTAACATCTTATTTAACTTCAGAATGCTGATTCAAGTATATTTAAAACACCTATACCCGAATTTTAGTAACAAAGGGATTTTTTTTTTTAATAAGGTCTTCCCTACATAGGTTTTCTAGATCATCTCTGCTGAAAACTTGGTAAGTCAATAATTTGTCTCTCTGTGTGTGCTGGTCACCTAGACATAGATGAGTGCTCTGTGCCTCCGTATTGCCACCAAAGATGTGTGAACACTCCAGGCTCATTTTACTGCCAGTGCAACCCCGGGTTTCAGTTGGCGGCAAACAACTACACCTGTGTAGGTAAGTCTTGAGGAGACCGCCACCCTAACTGATTTCTGTCTTCAAAAAAAAGGAGACCCCATATCAAGGTGCACTACTTCCAGTTTTCAGCATTCTTTAATGAACTGGTTTCCATCAACTTCCCTTGAGTAATCATTTAATGCTGAAAGGACAATAACTAACATGTTTCCTAAAACACATCAAAATGTGAACGGAAACCTTTTTGAAGCTTGGTTTTAGCTTTCCTCTGTAAGTGTATCAAAATTTCTTTCAAATTATAGATCAATTGATATACACACACCAATTCGTCAACAGGGTGTGATATAGATGATAATGGTGCCAAGGAGGTTACTGGAAGTTCAAGTACATAAACTTTCCACTGAAAGTGCATCTGATTTTTACATGCTTCTTCTCCCCTTTCAGAATGCAATGTCACGGCACACAATTATAAGATTGGCATGACATGGAAAGAATCTAGTGCAGGAAAAATGCCTTTTCACAATATTTTCAGTGCCTTAGAGCATTGCAAAACTCTGTATGAGTCTCAAAGGCTTATGTTATAATTGTAATGGAATTTAACAGAAACCATTTAAAAAGTAATAAATAGCACAGATAAATCTTCACTACAGCATGCTGAGAGACCGTATCAGTATGAGTGTCTTATAACAATTATTTATAGACTTGGCATTTTGAATCTGAACAACAAAAGAAAATAGACACTGGAATGTTTATTTATTAGAAGCATTAAATTCTTTGGGGAAGATTATCAAACATCAAACTGTCGTACCTAGAAAAAAAACATTCTGGTATTTCTAAAAGAAGTATATTACAGACCTTTGAAGTTGTTCCAACAAATATGAAACTGAATGGATTTTCTCGGATGAGCTTCTGCAGGGCAAAGAATTCAACTAGGGAATTACTCATTTATCATCAGATGATATAGGTACAAGAGAGCAAATATATGTTTAAAGTCATATGTATATCTACAACTTTTCCCTTCAGATATAAATGAATGTGATGCCAGCAACCAATGTGCTCAGCAGTGCTACAACATTCTGGGTTCATTCATCTGTCAGTGCAATCAAGGATATGAGCTGAGCAGTGATAGGCTCAACTGTGAAGGTAAAATATTTTTGAAATAACATGCAATAAGAGTTCACCCTTGTCATTCGTGTGGTTTTTTCTGATCATGCAGCTGTTGGTGAAAACAAATTTTTGCTCACACAAATTCTATTCCAAAATCTAATTCATATAGTTTAATGTTGGCTTCTTCATATGTTACCAAGAGGAAAAAAAAACTGAAATTTTAGATGCTGGCTGGGTCTAATCATTAGAAAGGATGTTCTAGTGTGTTGCTTCTCAAAGTGTGATCTGGTGACCAATAACACCAGTGTTCCTGGAAGCTTATTGAGAGATTCAGAATCTCAGACCCCAGCCCAAACTTTCTGAAGCAGAGTCTGCATTTAACAAGGATGCCCTGTGATTGCTGTGCATGTTTGAATTTGAGAAATACTGAAGGCATGTCAAAAACATTGCAATAAAAAAGAAAGAGACCTGGCCCCTAGCTTTATTCCTTCCACTGTGTGCCTGGGGTATATTTCTTAAGCTACCTAGGTTTTAGTTTCGTATAAGTAAAAAGACGGCCATTATACTGGATGGATGACCTTCAGAGTCCTGACTGTGCCCATTCCTCTGAATAATTCAAGCAGCATAAGATACCATGAAGGGGATACCATCAACACTTGATGTCCTTAAATTCCTCCTGGTCCCTTTCAGATTCACTTGGGGCCATAAAGGTCATACCCTACCCAGAGAAACCTCACATCATACCATTACGCTCAAAACCATAAGGAGACAGCTCAAGGAAGCTGCATCTGCAATTCTGAGCAAACTATACATGCATCCCTATTCAGATATGCAAAACATTCTTCCTCTGAAGACAAGACTCTGCCAAAATGTCACCTCTGGAAACTTGCACAGAGAATGGGCTTGGAATTCAAAGCTCAGATGAATTTAGTAGCAGAGTCACCCAATTTCTGAGAAGACAAACATGAATCTGCATCCTGTGTGGGAGCACAAAGTGAAGTACATGTCCCACAAGCCAATTCATTAAATCTGTTTAGCTAGTATAGTTAGGTCCAAGGTTAACTAAACTGTCCACAATTAATCAGTAAAACTGATGGTAAAAATAAAAACTCCTGATACTGGGAAGTTGTAGAGGGAAATACACTGATATTGTTAGAATTTGACCTCAAGCTTTTGATAAAATCTTATATTTCTGTTTAAAGTTTACAATGGTTTTATTCTCTTTAGCTAACTAAACTGTCCACAATTAATCAGTAAAACTGATGGTAAAAATAAAAACTCCTGATACTGGGAAGTTGTAGAGGGAAATTCACTGATATTGTTAGAATTTGACCTCAAGCTTTTGATAAAATCTTATATTTCTGTTTAAAGTTTACAATGGTTTTATTCTCTTTAGCTCATCTAAAAAGTGTATTACCAAAGTAGTGGCATGAAAGTTTTTCAACTCTGTGTCTTTGTTCTTGATTCAACAGATATTGATGAATGCAGAACCTCAAACTACCTGTGTCAATATCAATGTGTCAATGAACCTGGGAAATTCACATGTATGTGCCCCCAGGGATACCAAGTGGTGAGAGGCAGAACATGTCAAGGTAAATTTGTTTTCTTACATGTGAAGTGTTTGGTTTTACCCAGGAAGAACCTGAAGGAAGTTACAGGATTCTCTACTACAGATTTTCATTTTTCCCACATTGAATACACAATTAGTGCTCTTTGTGTCCCTATTCATCATGAGATAATGCACATCTCATAAAGAGGAGACTCCATGTTAGTCTTGACTTTCTTTGGAATTTAGAGTAACAGTTTTCCTTTCTAAAAAGTGTAAATAGTTTTAATAAAATGTTAATATCTCTACTAACTGGCACATATAATCTCTTCCAAGCATCTACCAGAAAAGATTCAGTTATGAAAATGTTTCACCATGAGTTTGAGCTTAGAGCCTCAATTTAACATGTGAGTTAGAGATAACCTCAATTTAGTCTTAATTCTCTAAGATACCAAGATTATAAATTATGTAGTAATTTAGGTGATGAGAAAGTCATCCTAATATGTACTAAAATGTGCCTGTATTCTTCAGGAAAAAAAACTGTTAAGCCAAAAAATAATTAATGACCTTGTACCAGCTACAAAATAAATACTTAGGTGGTCTTCACACCCACACATAGATGTGAGAGGCAACCATCTACAATTGTATGATTTCAGAGTCTTTTAGGAAAATTTGAAAATGTGCCAAAATTTGAAAATGTACCTCCAATACCACGTGTAGTTTAAAACTTCTTCAAGAGGAAAAAGACTGGTAGATAAAACAAAACATGTAGATAATCCTGAGAAAACTAGTATAAATACTCAAATTTACATAAAACAGTGAAAGTATAAAAAATGGCTTAACTTGAGGATAGAAAAATCTGTATGTATTGCATTCTGATGTATGTACTGCCTTTCTGCATACTGAATCTGGATGTACTACATTCTATCTACACAATAGTGAGCAAATCAAACTTCTCTTAAGTCTCAGCTCTCTCTTTTGGAAAAAGGAGATGTGGGAATGAAACAATATAATGTGAAAATAATTCATAAACTATGAAGTTCCTACAATTCAAGGTGTTTTTATGGAATATGCTCAGCAATGTCAGGAACTAATAGTAAGTCTATTTTAGAGACTTTTAAAATCTCAGAATTGGAAAGAGTACACACAGGACAATAAGGATCTTTTTAAGAAAGGAAAAGATCAAGGAAAGGAAACACTGGAAAGTCTCAGTCTATATAATAATTGTGTAGGGAAATAGTAACTCAGAGGAACATTGTGACCTGGGCTTTTGTAGCATGAAGCTAGACTCCAACCACTAGGTATGTGCATAATCAAAATGTCGTTCATTTCTTAATGAACATCTTTATAACCCTTACTAGAAATTCTGTAAATGTTAATTGTGGGGAAACATTGCATTCCATAGGTCTTACTTACTGAACCCTAATTGAGACTTTTAACATGAATATTACATGCAGGAAAATGTTAGCCAGTAGGATATTTTAACCAATTTCCCTGGAGTCCTTCAAACAAATGTCCATGTGTTTCTGATCATAAATGAAGTTGATATTGAACAAAGACAAAAGAAAATTAATGTACAGTAGGATCTTACTTGCCTGACCTATATATCCAGAGACATGTCTGTTTTGAGTAAAGGTGGAAAATGCACTGAAATTACAGATGGAGGTTCATGAATGTTGTTATATTGAAGACATGTAGCTTCAGAATATTTGAGTGAGCCAAAATATTGTTTGTGAAAGAGACTTGCATTCTTTTAAAGTATCAACCAATTGCTTTCCCCTACTGAAACCATCCCTCCTGAGCCCTGTCCATAAGAACAAAGTAGAATTCAGAAGGTTTGAATTCTTACGTTCCTCTAAGGGCTTATTTTGGGTATGAAATAACTTTTCTCATTTCCACAGGCTTACAAAAAAGAAAACTCTGTGTGTGTGTGTGTGTGTGTGTGTGTGTGTGTATTTTATCTAAACAGACAGAAAAAAAAACATACATGCAGATGCACGTTCCTCAAATATTTTAATACTGTTCATTTCTGAACAGCCTTCCAGAATGGTTAAGCTGTTGATTATGCTAGACTCTACACTGTCAGAAGTAATAACCAAAGTTATAGAATAAAGCTTCCTCTTGCTGTTGTTGGACTCTATATAACAAACAAGTCTTCATTTTCCCTTGAGCTGAACATCACCTTTATTTTTCCAAAAGGTAAAAAAGGCTGAAAGGGCAAGTCAATTGTAATTTCTTCAGAGAAAGTTAGGTTTTCTTCCCTCAGCCATAGCAAGTCCAAGAAGACACTTCTTGTTGCTGACTCTTGGAAACTGCATAACTTTTCCAGTTTCCTCCTGGAATTCAGATAAGTTTAGCCAATTGGAAGTCAAAAGAAAAAAAAAATTTCTCTAAAGACAAGGCATGGAATTATTCTTCCCTAGAGAACCTTGCACTGGAAAGATGCCTGTCACTAACTACACGAACTTGAATCCACCACTTAACCATGGTGGATTTTTTTCTCCATGTCAAAAGAAGATAACATCTTCTTCACCTGTCTTCACACAGTTTTGTGTGAGAAGCAAAACTTAATGTTCTTAAAAGCCAATGTCCCAACGCATTGACACTAGGTGATAAAAAGGGTTAAAATGTGGGTACAATGCTCCTGCCCTCAAGGAATTTACAATACAAGGATTAAAACAAATGGGCAGATTTCAATAATGCAAAGCAGAAAGCAATAAAGATCCTAAAAGCGGAGTATCAGGTATGGAAATACAAAAGAGAGATCATATCCCAGCACCCAGGCCATGCCTGGCTTGCAGCAAGGATTCAGTAAATTACCTGTGGAATGAGTAAATGAATGAATGAAAATATCCAATGATGGGGAAGGCATGATTCAGAAAATGTTTATATGTGATAAAATATAAATCACTATTCAAATGTAAAGGAGATAGACTTAGGGTGATGGATATTAATTTAATTGTTTCTGTGGTTACAATTGCAATGGCTCACTAAGGTGTTCTTTCAAATATCACCTGGGAGTTCCAAATAGCCAAATCTGAAATGAGCCTTCGTCCAGCCTAGCCTACTCACAGCCGGAGCTCTCCCCTCTGGCTCTTTGGCACCAGCCCCTTCTTCTTCTACACAGTCCTTAAATATTTGTGTTCTACAAGGCGGAAAACCTCATGACATCACTTCCACTGTGCTCCTTCCTCTGGACCATGGAAACCCCTCATCTATCCCTCAGCATGCCTACTTCCTGAAACTACCTTTCTAGATGTTTTCTCTCTCCTGAGCTCCTGAGACAAAGGACCAGCTGTCCTCTGCATAGTTTCCACTTGCTGCTTTCTCATCCTGGGAAGCCTTCCCCAACCTAGCAATGAAAAATCCATTTAACTACCACCCTTCAAGGCCAACCTGAGATGCCTACTTCTTTTTTCAGCCTTCCCTAATCCTCCAGGCAGAATGAGTCAATTCTACTTCAAGTCCTCCTCCGTCCTTACCTATCTCCTATTTAATTCCATTTTGCTTTATAAGTAATTGTTCCCAACTAAATTATCATCTCCCTGAGGAAAGGAACTGGTAGGGTATTTGGTTGGTTGGCTTTTTTTTTTTTTCTTTAATATAAGCCAAGTCAATGGTTAGCATTTGACTTTGAATTTAACAGATAAACAATTGGTACTTGATTTTTTTAAAAAAAATCACAAAATGATACATATTAATCTGTGCAGAATGGCTCAACTACATCTGTCCTGAATTCAATGTAATGAATTCAGGTTCCACCCAGTTTTGTGTCTTATAGTACTGCCTTCCTTGAAACTTACACAATTTTCCTGCCACTTACACAATCTTCTTGATCAATATACTCTTAAACCCTATGTCTGCAGATATCAATGAGTGTGAGACCGCCAATGAATGCCGAGAGGATGAAATGTGTTGGAATTATCATGGTGGCTTCCGTTGTTACCCACGAAATCCTTGTCAAGATCCCTATATTTTAACATCAGAGAAGTAAGAAACATCAACAGAACTTTTGAAAGTGAGCCTCTTCTGTTACTCCCCAACCAAACCAATGATCGCTTTTTTATTTGTCTCCACAGCCGATGTGTTTGCCCAGTCTCAAATGCTATGTGCAGGGAACTGCCCCAATCCATAGTCTACAAATACATGAGCATCCGCTCTGACAGGACTGTACCATCAGACATCTTCCAGATACAGGCCACAACTATTTATGCCAATACCATCAATACTTTTCGGATTAAATCTGGAAATGAAAATGGAGAGTTCTACCTAAGGGTAAGTATCGTGAAGCCAGCTGTTGAGAAAGGTGGAAGTTTGTCCTGTCATATTCACTTGGAAGGAAAGCTAACATTTAGAGTTTTGTGTGTAGGCATGTGTAAGGACCTCCAGTGTATCTTATTTCAGTTAATCCCTTGGTAATGCCGTAAGATAGATACTAATATTGATTTTGATTTTTTACAGAAGACAAATATGACATGCAGAGAGATTAAGTAGCTTCCCTAAAACCACAGATACCAAACTGCTGACTCTAGTACTAGAGTTGTGTGTGACTACCAAAACACAAACCTACAAATCAATGACATTTGACTGTATGTAGGAAAAATAATTTCTGGAGAGTTTTTCAAAAATCATGAATTCCTTATTGCTACATTTGCAAGACAGTTTACATTCACAGCAAAACTAAAACCTGTCAAGTCTCAGAAGTGACCTACCCTGCTGCTCAGTATGAATCAACACATGTACCACTGTCTTCTGGGCAGTGTGGGCTCACTCAGGTCTTTTCCCTGTCTTTTATTACCTATGTGAAATCTTGCTTCTGAATTCTGCCATTTCTCTCTTCATAGTGTCTCCTGGTTTATCTTTGCTTCCAAAGCCCCAGCCTCCTCTTCTCTAAGCTGCTTGCTTCACCTCCCCAGTCTCTCCAGAGCCTTCCAAGCTGATCTCCCAGACTCCATTCCCCCCCCCCCCCCCCCTCTCCCCCCCCCCCCCCCCCCCGCAAAATCTCAGCAAGTTCATTTTAGGTTAAAATTCTGACACATTTTAAATACAGCTCACCACTTCATGTGAAAATGATGGCACCCCACCAAGCAGTTTGCAGGGTTACCGTAACTGTTTCAAGCTCAGGATGTTATTCATCCAGTTACAGTTTTTTTTTTTTTTTCAAAACTCCTTTGGGCACTCTTCCTTTTTAATCAGATTTTAAAGTCAATATTTCATTTTGAGAATATGAAAGCAAATTGGGAAAATCATCCTTGTGGTCGAGTTTACAGATTTTTTTAATGTTTACACGTTTATCCTGTTCTTTGATATACTGACTTCCTTTCCAGCTTAAGCAATGTGATTCTCTTTCTTTGCCAGTAAATTATAAATGATTAATTTCTCATGACCAACTTCTGAAGAGAAAAACCCAACCCAAAATACAATCTATTACTATCATTATTTTTTCTAGTAGGAAAAAATAAACTTCTTTAGCATTTGGTGTCTTAAATTTGAGATGCACTAGGTTATTTGTAAAAAGTTTCCTGTAAATGAGTTTTACACAGTTCAGATAGGACCAATTAATTAATTCTAGCCCAAACAGATAATATTATCAGTAATCCCATGGTAATATGATAGGTTCATCTCAAATTCTCCTTTAAAAATAACTTTCCATTTTGAACTCTGCACAATCATTTTAAGAAATAAAATTTCCTAGTAGGATCAGCAGTTAAATAAAGTTCCAACGTGGTTTTTCTCTGTAATAAATAGGACACTTTGAAAGTTATTTTTATTCATTGACTTGATTTATTGAGTTATTGACTTGATTTTTCAAATACAAATACAAAGCCTTTTTCCCATGAATAATATAAAATATTGCCAATTTTGATAATCCCAGAGTTAAATCATTTTAAATTACTTGAATAAAAAACTATTTTAAATGCTAAAAAAATACATCAATACTATTTCTTATCACATAATTCGAAAAGCACTTGGATCAAATCCTACAAAATTTCTCATTGAAATTCCACTTCGCCTAAGAATCAACCAGCAATCCATAATTAAGCACTACTATGTTCTTGGCTCCATAGTGAAGAATTAAAAAGACAGGTAATACACAGTTCCTGATTTCAAAGAGTTCCAACTACAATTGTGCAGCAAAAGTTAACATCTATGGAAAAGAAGGAGCCAGCATTGTACTTAATTCCATGGTTTAAAGACAGCAAATTAATAGATAAAGGAGGTTTCTTGATAGTCATGAGACTTGACCTGATCCTTGAAAGGATATGTGGAATATAGGATTTTATTTATATTCCTCTTGGGAGAAGACTGAGAAAAGCTCCTTCCCTAGAAAGGGGGACATATTATAAGGAAGTAGTACACAAAAGTGAAAGTAAAGTATCACCTTCAAAGTATTACTGTTACCTACAGCTATTGCTTCCAAGAAGCAAGTACTATAGACGATCCTAGAGGCACAAAAATAAATAAAAGCAAGCTAATTCCTATCCCATTGGAGATAATAGTTAAGATGCTGTACAAGTGCTCACAAGGGTGCTGACCACTGCAACAAAGAGTTTAAAGGTTGCTCACAAGTATGTAAGCAGAAGACCTAATCAGGTCACCCATGGTCTAGGAACCTTCTGGTACAAGTAGATTTAAACTCAAGGACCAAATTGAAGAATAGCAAATTAAAGGATTATATAGAAGTGCAGTTGGTCTGGAACTCCAAGTGCTAGAGGCAGAGGAGCCTGAGAGGATCCTGGAGAGCAGAACGAGCTAGATCTCACAACCTTATAGAGTATTTTAAGACCTTCAGGTAGAGGAGTCTCTATTGGACTTTCAGGTTAAAATGATGTCTGCCTACATTACAGAGCATGGATTGAAGTGGGGCAAAAATGGAAATAGATCAGTTACACATTCAAGAGATAGATAGGAAGTTAGGGTGGTAGCCAGGAGTTTTTAAAAATGAAGAAAGAACAAATTTAAGAAGATATTGGAAGAACTACATGACTTGGTAACTCATTTGCTATTGGGAGGTTTGAGGAGAAAGAAGCATCAAGAAGAAGACCCTTCTTGTTTCTGTCTTGAGCAACAGTAAATAGTGGAGATAAAGAAGAACAAGGATCCAGTGTGGAGGGAAAGATGAAAGGTCATTTGGATAAATTAATTCCAGGTCCCTGTGAAAAATCAAAGTAGAGATACTTGCAGCTGGATTTGTGGATTTGGAACTCAAAATGCAGACTTCCAAGTCACTGGCAAATGCATAATAACCAAAGCCATGGTTATGGATAGGATCACTCAGGGAGAGTGTGTTGGAGTGGGTGATTAGTGGTAGAGAAGAGAGCCTGAAATAAGGAAGGGCTACATCATGAAGACATTTCCTTTCTGTAACCTGATCTATCCAGTGCCCTAGCCTATAGTTCCCTGGCCATCTCATCTCCCATGGCAAATCCAGTAAATGTAATAACATCCCTGAATTCAGGATTTCACAAGATGCAGAACAAAATGACACCAACCCCCATGGCCACACTCAGGTATTGGTCTCTGGTGACCATCCTCCCTCTCCACCACCCTGCTCTCTCTCTCACATCATCACTGTCACACAGTGCTTTTCACCCTCAAAGTGATGCTAGTTCCCTGATCCTCCAATCCCCTGTCCCCTTCCAGTCTATCAGCTACTTGGTGGACACTTAAACTACCCTGTCACCAACACATCAATCCTCCATCTGGCAGCCCCACATCAATCCCATAAATCCATATATATTTTCATACCCAGCTTGTATGGACTAGTAATCCTGTAAAATTCTGGTCTCCTATTTCAGATGGGTGTTCAGTATGCTCAACAATTCTGTTATTTTTCTTATTTCTTTTATTCCATTTTTCTTTATTCCCTGGTCTCAAATGTCCCCATATTCTTTAAGTCCTTGCACTCTTCATTTTCAGTAGGTGACCTCACCTCCTACTCCTCTGAAAGCACTGACATCAAATAGGTATGAGTTAGCTGTACTTCCCATGCCACTCACTGCAACTTAAGTCTCTGGATTCTCCATCAAGTTTCCAAAAACAAGGTTTCACTTCTGTCAATCAAGATCCATCCAGCACATGTATTTTTCATTTTATCTCCTCCAGAGTCTTATTTTAACAGACTCCCCTCTACTTTCTACATATTCAACATGTTTTCCCTCTGGATTTTGCCCTACCTTTCCTCTCCCTTGCCAGACTAGCTTGTTTAAATGCAGTCTGTAATCATGGTCTGTGCTTTATCACTTCCTGGTCACTCCTGTCTTCTGTTCCCACTACCATATGGAAGCTGATATGGGGAAAAAAAGCCACTAATGACCTCCATACATTAAATCCAAGAGGCACTTTAAAATTCCAGAATCCTCATCCTCCTCTGCTCTGGTGAACACAAATGGCCACTCATCTGTTCCCCAACTTAATCATTTATTTCTTCTCAGCTTCTTTCTTTGGTTTCTCCTCTACCTACTCCTTCAGTGTCATCCTCTCCTAGAACTCTGGCTTTACTACATCCACATTCTCTCCCTTGGTTTTATGTCCACCCCTTGAGGTGATTGCTAAATCTGAATCTCTCTCTGTATCCTTTGTCATTCAGATTCACCATCTGCTTACCCACCCCACCAATATCATCTCTCTCCTCTTTCCAACACCCATCACATTTTTCATCAAAATTAAACTGCATTGAGTTCTTCTGAACATGATGCTTTACAGAACTTCCGCTTATCCCTGGGGACTCTCCCTGGGTATTCCAAAGCCTTTCCTTAATATTTTAGGATTCCTCCTCTTTTTCCCGTGTATTTGCACCTGTCTGCACACACCCTGAGTATCCCCATATTCCTTAATATTTGCAACATTCTATTGAAATTAACTGTTTCCCTCTCTCTTCACCCACTAGAATGTAAATAGATGCACAATGTCAAGAAAATGAAAAATTACAGCTTAGTTTACCAGTTCAAAAGTGATCTGATTCCAAGCTCTGGACTCTATAATAGCTGAAACTGCTCAAGGGTTTAAGAAACATTCACAGAAAGGGAGGAATAGAAAAGAAAAACTATTTGAAAAGCAACTCCTTGAAACTTGGAGCTAGGTCCAAGGATAACTATGAAGAAGGTTTGGAATCAGGAAGGGATAAGTCGTAGTTCTTTTATCCCACTTCTTACCTATCTAGTACTTAATTATCCCCTAATTCTCATTGGAGGTATAATAAGAGAAACTCTATTCCAAGAAAACTAATTCTCTCCCTCTTCTTTCTTCTTTTTATTTTAGCAAACAAGTCCTGTAAGTGCCATGCTAGTGCTCGTGAAGTCACTAACAGGACCAAGAGAATACATCGTGGACCTGGAAATGCTGACAGTCAACAGTATAGGGACCTTCCGCACAAGCTCAGTGTTAAGATTGACAATTATAGTGGGGCCATTTGCCTTTTAGCCTTTTACCAGAGTCTACCACAGGCATTTAAATCAACCAAAGAATATTGTTACCTTAAAGCACTATTTTATTTATAGATATATCTAGTACATATACATATACATCTATATACTGTACACTCACCCATAATTCACACAATTACACCATGGTATAAAGTGGGCATTTAATCTGTAAAGATTCAAGGTTTGTCTGTATTAATGTGTGTAAATTAGACATTAATCCACTAAACTGGTCTTCTTCAAACATTAATTCACTAAACTGGTCTTATTCAAGAGAGCTAAGCATACATTATCCGGTGAATCTTGGATTCTATCCTGTAAAAATGGGACCAAGCGATGTTGCTCTTCTGTGGTGCTTAGGAAAACCTTAAGACAGCTCCACCAACAGTCTCTTAAGGGGACAGTCATCCTAACATTGAATAGCATGCTAGGGCAGGAATGAGGTTTTTTTAACTGCTTTGTAAGAAAATGGAAAAAGTCAATAAAGATATATTTCTTTAGAAAATGAGGAACTCCCACATTTGTGTTGGTCTTTATTTTCATGATCAGTCTACAGATGGTTGTTCATTACATACAATAAATCGTTATTGTACAATAAGCTGGTCTCCATAGGGTATTTTAAATTTTTGTCAGAAATCCTTTATTATGAACATGAAAAACCAATAAGAAAAATTTCCCCAAATTCCCCCAAATGAATCAAGTATCTCCTAGAAAATTATTCTGTTGAGAAATCTATGAGAAACAGAGGAGAAAAAAAATTTTTTTTTTTTTCTAAACCACATTGGAGTTGAACGGAAGCAGCAAATCCAGTAAATGTAATAACATCCCTGAATTCAGGATTTCACAAGATGCAGATCAAAATGAAGAAAAGGTATTTTACTGGGGGAGTTTTAATTTCTAAATAAAATTAAAGTCCTAACACTTCACTGGTTTATAAGTAAAATTTTTCATATTTGTACTCAGTGCCCACAAAGGAGGAAAATGATGATGGTTCTTATTCCTGGCATCAAGAGTGAGTGTGAACTAAAAGCAAATCCCTTCCTCCAATTCTAGGAAAAGGTTTTAGGTCTTCTTATTTTTTTTTTAATGTAACTGCTTCACTTTGATGTGTCATATTTTTAAATAAAAATAAATATTCTCTTAGAAGATCGACCAATCTTTGGAGGTTTCTTAATGTAGCCAATAACAGCCAATATAACTTTTATATCTGGGGGAAAATCACTGCCAGAGCAAGAACAACCATTATATTTATGTGTGCGTGTTGTGTGTGTGTGTGTGTGTTAAGAAATGAAGAAACAAAGACTATTAGAATCATGCCACGAAGAAAGTGTACAACAATTTTTTTTCTTACATCCAATTTCAAAGCACAAATGAATAACCTCTGTCACCAAGTAACCCTGCTGCTAAAATGAAGGTCTCTCACAGTGGACTGAATGTGTAAGAATTGTCAAAAAGAAAGCTCAGCAAGAGACCAAGGAACAAAACACAAGCTCCTTATGTTAGAGTGGGGGATGGGCCCTTCAGGGCTAGAGAGGGGCAGGACCAGTGGAGGAGGAACAGGTCTGACCAACAGGTGAGGGTATGCGCCTCACCTGCCTACATGACAGTTGAGGAGTCCAGATAAATTAAGGCTTGGTTTAAACCTTTCGATTTGTAATCAATCTAGTGATTTGTCTGCATAGAGTAAAAAAGAAAAGAGCCTGAGACCTTCCAAGATTGTTCACTCTTAAACTAAAAGGCAGAGTCTTTGTAGTAGAAGTAACAGGAGTCTCTGGGATATCTGCGCATAAACCCTGGCCCTCCCGTTACCCCCAAATCCTGTATATGAAATCCAAATCTATAGAAACCATTAACTTCCAAGATAATGAGTGTCCTTGAATCTCAAGGCTTGGTCCTATTCACAAATCATAGATCACGGAGAGGGATGCTATACTGAAGCTTCACTGATTCAATCCCCTTTTCTTATAATTTGTGGTAGAACACACATCACAAAATTCAATGTGGTCATGCACACAGTTTTCAAGTGTATACTTCAGTAGCGCTTTAAACATTATACAAATATTCCCACCATGTGGTTCCATAACATTTTCACCATTGGAAAAACAAACCCCATGCCCATCAGCAGTCTGTCTCCACTCTTTCCTTGTCACAGCCCCAGTGGAAACTACCTCAGAGCTCTGTGGATTTGCCTATTCTGGGCATGTCATATAAATAGGATTATAGAATTTGTGTCCTTTTGTGTCTGGCTTCTTTCATTTAACAGTTTTCAGGGATCAACCATGTTGTTTCATGTATAAGTATTTCATTTCTTTTTGTGACTGACTAATATTCCATTGTATAGATATACCACATGTTGTTTACCCATTCATTAGTTGACAGATATCAGTCAACAGATGGTGTCCATCTATAAGTCCTTCTTATTTGGGATGTTGAAAAGAAACTGATTCCCAGACAATTCATCCACTAATTTCACAGTCTAAATTCACCCAATTTTAGTTTCCTTTCTGACTAAAAAGAGTAGCAAGTAAACTTTTTTTTTAATAGGAATGAAAACTTGGAAAGAACTTTGAGAAGTTAACATGAGTGCCTTTATAAAGATCCCATTAAACATAAAAATCTCATGCTTTATTTTAAAATTGGTTCTTTTTAGTCATATATAACATTAGGATTCATTTTGACATAAAATCATGGAATATAATTTGATCTAATTCAGTTTACAGTATTTCCCCTTTTCCTTCCCTCCCCATTCCCTGTGTTCCTTTCCCTCTACTATACTGATCTTTTTGCTATTTACTTTGGTAGTTTTGTTTTGTTTTTGAGTTAGTTTCTTATGGATAGACATGATGGTGAGATTCACTGTGGTATATCCATATATGTACATAGCAAAATTAGGTCAGATTCATTCAGCTGTCCTTCCATTCTCCCATGTCTTATCCCTCCCCCTTAGTCCCCTTCATCTAGTCCACCACTGTAGCCTTTTCAACAAATGGTGTTAGGAGAATTGGATGTCTATAAGTAGAAGAATGAAACTTGACCTCTATCTCTCACCCTGCACAAAAATCAACTCAAAGTGAATCAGAGACCTAGGAATTAGACGACAAACTCTGAATTTCTGGAAGAAAATATAGACCCAACAAACACTCAAACTTGTTGGCACAGGAACCAACTTCCTTAACAAGACCCCCAACATACAAGAAATTAAATCAAAAATCAGTAAGAGGGATGGCATAAAATTAAAAAGCTTCTTCATAACAAAGGAAACAAGAGTGTGAAGAGAGAGCCTACAGCACAGAAGAAGATCTTTGACACCTGCCCCTCGGAATATATAGAGAACTTTAAAAACTTGACACCAAAAGAACAAATAATCCGATTAAAAATGGGACAGAATAACTAAACAAAACACTTGTCAATAGAAGAAATACAATTGGCCAACAAATATATGAAAAAAATGTTCCACATCTCTAGCAATCAGGGAAATGCCAATCAAAATTACATTGAGATTTCATCTCACTCAAGTCAGAATGGCAATTTTTACGAATACAAATAATAATAAATGCTGTTGAAGATGTGGGAGAGACACACCCATACACTATTGGTGGGACTGCAAATTAGTATAGCCACTCTGGAGCAGCAGAGAATTAGTGCAAACATTATAACAGCACAGAATGGAGATTTCTCAAAAATGTAGGAATGGAACCACCATATGACCCAGCTATCCAACTCCTCTTTATATATATCCAAAATAGCTAAAATCAGCATACTATTTGGATATGGCCAAATCAATATTTATAGCAGCACAATTCATAATAGCCAAGCTATGGAACCAAACAAGGGGCCCTTCAACAGGTGAATGGATAAAGAAAATGTGGGTTTTATACACAATGCAGTATTACTCAGCCATAAAGAATGAAATTACAGCATTTGATCATAAATGGATAGACCTGGAGGCTATAATACTAAACGAAATAAGCCAGACCCGGAAAGCTAAAAGTTGAATGTTTTATCTGATATGCAGAAGCTAATCCAAAATAAGGAAGAGGGGGAAGAGATAGAAAGGGAAATGGCAGGGAGATTCCATCATGCTCTCTTTAAATGCAACTTGAAATTCAAAATAAATGACTAAAAATAAACCAAATCAGTAAGACAAAGTTCTGCTTTTCTTTCAGACTATACAAGACTCCTTCCTTTTGTCATCCTTAGAAATGGTTGATTTAAACCAGCTCTCATAGATGGAAATCATAGAAAAATAATTCATTGTCAGAATCTATCTTTTTTTGTCAACATTCATTGATAAATGTCTCTGCTAATCTAACAGTGTGATGTCATCCTAAAGAACCACGATTCTTAGTCTCTTTTCTCTTAATACCAGCAGAGAGACCTTAGTAAAGTCACTCAAAATCTTGGATTCTTTATGATTCTTTATCTACAAAACCAGGATGTTGAAACAAGATGTTTTTCCAGCTTGTAAAACTAAGTTTTTATAAGTCCTACCCCAAGGATGCACTCAAAGAAGATATAGTTCTATTTACCAAATTTTGAAAGCACCTGAGTATTCTTTGAATATTGGACATTGGCAGAAGAAAAAAATATTAACAGTTCCCACCCTAAACCAGATCTTCAACAATGTGGGTTCATTATTGAGGATGAAGACACAATAAATAATCCAATTCAGCTCTAAGTTTTTAAATTACAATTCAAAATACCTTTCTTTTTTTAGTATTTACTCTGTAAAATTACATTTTTGTTACTTTCTGCTGATACTGAAATATAATTACTCATGTTAAATTGAAAGTCATTTTACTTTGTTTCACCAATGGAAAAAAGGGCCAGTCATGGGTTCCCACACTTCAAACATGCTTCTGGGAAATGCCTACTCGGTGAGCCTTAGTGTAATGAGAACTTTCCTAGACATTTCCACCACTCTCCATCCCAATGCCCCTGGCCTGGGCTCTGAGACTTCGGTGCTCTCCAGGTAAGGTGGAATTGTTTTCTGACTGGTTAGGCAAGGCCTGACGGGGATTAGACCATCTCAAAAAGAGGATAACTTCCCTCAGCTGCCAACTCCCCACCCCTGCAAAAGTACTTTGACAACTTGCAGTCACCATTTCCTCCAAGCAAAATCTCTCCTGTTACACACCTTTCCTTTTAATAATCATAGTAATAAAACAGGATTCTAGAACTTAGACGCCATCTTGTTTTTAAGGCTTGCTCAGGGTTGCA